ACCTGTGATCATTTCTTGTAAAGTTATGGGGGTTTAAAGATTGCCATTTTAGCCAATTTGGGACAATTAACGCGAGATATAGTTCGCGGTACTCACGCGTAAGCGGAGATTCAATCCGTGTTAGAAACCGTTCCGAATTGGTTGCAGGAAGCATAAATACCATTATTGAAACTTAGTAGGACCGAAATCTATCACATTGTACTTTATATGGCGTGTGGGTTGATGATTTTCACAAAAAGTCTCAAACCAAAAAAAAAAGTTTTTTACCTTTAATTTTTTCATGTTATTACTGCTCCGTCAACCTTCAAAGGCAGTACGAACATTCAAGGCTTCGCTCTGATACAAGCAGTTTTGTTGTTCCGACTTTCGTAAAGTAACGGAACATTTGTGCTCGGGTGTTTTTTTTTTCTTCAGACGTATTTCGACTTTTTAAATAGCAATTTTTGACTAATTATTTTATAGCATTCAAAAGGTATTGTTGTCTTGAATTTGAAATTGAAAAGATATTTTACTTGTGTTTATCTTTCATAAAGCTATGGGGGTTTGAAGATTGCTATTTTGGCCAGTTTACGACAATTAAGGCGCGATATATTTCGCGCTATTAACGCGTAAGCGGAGATTTAATCCATCTCAGAAATTGTTCCAAATTGGTTGAAGGAATCTTGTTTGCCATATTTGATTTGTTACTATGAGCGAAATTTATCACTATTTACTTTTTATGGCGTGTGGGGGTATGATTTTCAAAAAAAACTCCCATTTTTTTTTCTTTTTTTTAATACATTTAATTTTTTTGATATTTTTTGCTCCATAAGCCTTTAAGGCAGTCGGAACATTCAAGGCTTTGCCCTGATACGAGAATCTAAACCTCATTTTCGGATGAATTATATGCAAATTAGTTAACATTGCCAATCAGTTTCTATGCAAATTACATGCATTTGCTTGTCGGGTTGACTGTAAGCTCATTATGCCGCTTTAATTTTGAGTGGGAATGGGCAAAAAACGAGATAAAAACAAAAGCATTTTCCCCCTCACTCTACGAATATGTGCAGCCCAATCGAAAATCCGCTCAAAATCATTCGACAGATATCAACAGAAAATTAGCTTTTCTGTAAGTACTAAGAAAATTTGGAAAAAGTTTTTTTTTGCATGAATTTCTTAAATAACTCATCTTTCAAGCCTTATTCGCAATTTTCTTCTTTCAAGCCATAACTCAACAGAGAATAAAACATATTTAGGCACTGCTTTTTCCTTCTTAAAGGTGTATTTTGTACAGTTATAGTCAAAAGAATCTTAATAATGTTCTAGCTGCAAATTATCATTAATAGCCTTAATGGTTCAACTTTTGATGACTGGTTCTAATTAGTTCTCCGTGTTTTAGTTTTTACTGATAAAAGGCTTTTTGTGATCGGAATTTCATCAGTGGGCAAAACGAAATTGCCCAAAACGTATCTGTGGTTGAAACTGTAGCCCCAAAAGTAGGCCGTTTTTGCGCGATTAGCAAGGAAGACTACGATAACAGATACTGATGAACAAAATTTTTGGCGAAGAAAAAAAATGCTTTGATTTTTTTAAATTCTGACATCCTAAAATTCATGAGAGGAGTTATTGCCAGATTCACTGTTTGCTGAATGATACATTTTTTGTTAGATACATTTTTTGCCAAACTTTTTGCTATTTAAAACACTTTATGAAGTATAACTTTTTAACATTTTTTTTCAATATTTTAAGATTCATGATTAGGTTTTTGTATGCTCATGCATTTTTTTATCAATAACAGAAGACAAAAATGAATTGAAGGGGAGAAAACATGCGCATTTGTCTCAGTTAAAGTTCTCTGTAGAAGCTCAGAGACGATAGTTATAAGAACTGACCTGATCTAATAAAAATGACTTGTCATGATCTGATACTTCATGTGCTTACGTCTCACCATTATCAGTTCGAGTTTAACCCAATGTCGAAATTGTCAATAGTGGTTTATTCTAATGTTATTAACGAACTCTATCAATCAAATCGATGCTATATATGTCAAAGGCATCTTAGGTGAAAAGTTACTAAAAATGGGTGAGAACCATTTGTTTATTTTTACCTGAAGACTCATTTAGAATTATGGAAATTTTGATCTGTGATAATATATCTAGTGTTTAAACAAGCCAACTTTAAAAAATACAATTTTAATCATTTACTCAGCATTGAAAAATAAATTGGATACTTATCATTTTTAATCACGAAGAAGAAAACTTCGATCTGACGTGTCACAGGCTTTGTACGAAGTTTTTGAAGTAAATCATTTAGCGCGAAAGGAAGAAACCAATATAAAATATGTGTTTATTTTAAAAAAAAAATCAAATGAAATTATCTTTTGAACGTCTTTAAGAAAGCCGATGAAAGATTTGGTAGAAGTAATACGGATCGGGAAAAGTGCAACACTTCTAGAAAAGAATTATAGCTTAAAATCCAAGCTAATTCTCATAGTTGTAAGTTGGTTACCGGAGAAGACTCCTTTGAAGAAAACCAGAGGTTAACAATGATAGCCGGTTGTTGTGCAAGTAGCACGCACAGATTGTTCTGGTCACATTCTCAGAATAATTTTTTCTCCAAATTAGTGAATTTTTTGTACTCCGTGTAATGGTAAAACTATACAAACGCGTAAAAAGTACTAAAGTAGGCATAAAAAATTTCAAAAAATTGAAGAAAAACTGATGAAAAAAACGAGCTTTGTATTTTTTTCAGGCTTTTGCAAGTTTTTTTTGCAAAAGAAGCGCTAAATGAAGCTACCAAAACTAGTTTTCCTTGTAGTGAAATCAAGTTTCTAACCTTAATTTGTTAATATTATTATTTTCTATAACGAATGTTCGCTTTGGATCGATTTACTCGCTTGAAAATGACAAAAAATCAAAACTTCCAAAGCAGTTTTTCTCAACACCGGAAAATTTTAAAAAATATTTAAGGTCGTTTAAATCCCGACTGAAAAAGCTACAAAATGATATATCACACAACCCAGTTCGATGATTATTTGTAGTACTTGACTTTGCGTGGAAAATATATATATATATATATATATATATATATATATATATATATATATATATATATATATATATATATATATAAAGATAGACGGTTACTGTGCAAGTAGCACAGAATGTTCTGACCATAGATAGTTTTTAGAAAACTACGGTTTAGAAATTTCTTTCCAGATAGTGTAGTTTTTTTCTGCTTGGTGTGATAAAAAGATCTGACGTACAAATATAATTTAGGCATATTAGGCAGTCATAGAAAAATTTGCAATTGGAAAAAAGACTTTGTAGAAAAATGACTGGAGAAATTTAAACAAATTTTTTTTTTTTAATTCTTCTCAAAAATATTTGCAACATTTTTTTAAAGTTTTTGATTCCCAAATGAAGCTAAAAACTTCAAAAACTAGTTTTACATGCCTAAAATAAGTTTCAAAGTCTAAATTAGGCACAATTCAGCTTGTAATTCTACATGCTCACGCCATATTGGTTCGAAATTGGACCAAAAATCAAAAAATTCCAACCGGTTTTTCTCGACACGGAAAAATTTTTGAAATTTTCTAAATGCCGTTCGAATCACGACTGAAAAAGCTTTAATATGATATATCACTCAACCTAGTCCGATGATTATTTGTGGTACCTGATTTTGCGTAGAAAACAAAAAGAAAAAACTAAATCACACCCGAATACAAAAATCCTCCCCATTTTCAATTGTCGGAACAAAAGCTAAAACACTCTCGAATGAAAAATTTCTCCTCATTTTTAATGTAAATCAGCAAGGTATGAAAACTTAGTTGCACTATTGTATTGTGAATTTTCATATGAGAGTTTTTCTATATATCACATCTTCCTATCTGTAACAATACAGAAGTATTTGCAATGGGTTGCATGTTCATAGCTGCCACTTACCCCCAGTTGACTGCACGTAAAACTTTATGGTTAACTTTTTAAGGGCTTTTGGTTGACTTATTACAATGCAAGCTTTCTGGTTGGTGCAGTTTTTATTCTACTGCTGATTTTTCAGACAAATTTACATGACTGAATTCTTGCTTTTACAAACTTGAACTTACTGGGAAAAATAATTTTTTGGTTTAAGTTCTTTTCTCGCCAGTTTTTTTTTGTTTTTTAAAAAAAATTATAGCCCTACCATAGCCAAACTTGTATATGAAGCGGGGCTTTAATATTTGGTGCCAAGGGGATTTCATAAATGTTACATCGGTGCTTTGTACTGGCACGCTCGCAACGCATTAGTTCAATAGTGAGCCTTTAGACTTCCGAAAAAAATCAATTAAAGAATTGCCGGTGAATTTGATTAAAAGGTGAAAATCTGCTGCTACATCAAAATAGTATCCTCTAATTTTTTGTACGACGAAAACTGTTTTGTGTTAAGTTTTCAAACATATCTTGATCTGAGTTTTACGGTTTAGTTTTCCCGCAGAACTAAGTTTTTCTTAGTTTTTTTTATTTGCTGAGAGGCGGCCACTGACTCTTTTTGAAACCGATGTATTCAGAAGTAATCAAACCAGTCAGTGATTGTAGCTATATAAATCCTGAAACTATATTGTAGCTATATAAGATCCAAGCTATAACTATAATTTGGACATGAAATTTGTCTCTTGTCTTTGTTGATCATCCATTTTGTAACTAATACAATTTGAAAAATTTAAGGTAAATATATTTGGTCACATTTTACAAACACTAATCATATATCATGAAGGGAAGAATGTGTAGATTTGATCAAAACTGCTTTTTTCAATTTCTATTTTTTCTGAGATAGCTGCAAAAGCTTATAAAGAACTTTCCTTTCATTTATTTTCCTGTCTTTTCCTTTTTTTTGCACAGGAATGACAGGTGTTTACATATTGCTTTTCGAAGAGAAAAAACGAAAACAATCGAGCTAACATTTCTTCAATCATAATTTTTTATGCACATTGATGAGAATTGTATAATATCAGCTGTTATTTTATCACGTTTCTTGATGTTTAAAACTGTTGTGTAATATTTGTTATACTTAACAATAACCGAAAACGTTATTTATAGTTATTGATTTTTTTGTGTACACATGAAAATTTAAATCTATCGATGAAAAATCAAGAACTATAAACAATTGAGATCTAAATGAGGATTAAAATATTTCATGAATTTATTATTCAAACATTGTCGACGATTCATTATTCAATTTCACGACAGCTCATTTTAACTTTATAATTTAGTTTTTGATGAAGACAGTTAATCGTGGCCTGCTGTTACTGCTCATAAATGCCACACTCTACGCCCTGGCCAGTTTGGGTTTTGCCAGGTCTGGCTTCAACACTTCACTACTGGCAACTTGGTTTGGACTTCTGGGCTCAATTATAGCTCTAACCAAACTAATAACTGAACCCAAATTCTATATTTTTCGTCACCGCAAAGAGAGAAATCTTTACTTCTGTTTCTTAAATGGTTTTATTTTTGGGGGCGCCTCATTTGGTCTGCATTTCTGGTCTCTTCGATTCATTTTACCCTCCGATTCTATTCTAGTCAATGCCTTCTTCTCTCTTTTCTCATCAGTGGTGGTTGAAATTATCAAAGAGAAAAAGCGGCCGACTGTTCTGTCAATCATCTCAGTTCTGGCGGGAGTCATCGGGACTGGACTCATTTGCAACCCACAGGCAAGGCTCTTAATTTGTCTAAGAAATGTCATGATGATGTCAAATGTCATGATAATGAAACTCGGATAATGAAAATTAAAACTCAGAGCCGATTCTCAAGAAACTTCGCTTCATAGAAAAACGACTGCATTTAGAAAAAAAAATGAACTCACAATTTTTTCTACAAATTTTGTTGAAAATTGGCGGTAAGCTCAAAATTTAACTTCGGAGCAGGAGCAGATTTAGGGAGGTGGACGCCCCCCTCTCGGGTATTCGACCACCTGCCGACCCAAAGGGGACCCCTGTACTATTTTTAAATATCCGTTTTTGGTTGACTGAACTTTAAAAAAAATTTCTAAAGGCGCCAGCCTAAACTAATTTCAGGAGCGCACGCCGAAAAAAAACACAATTTTTTTGGTCGATATTTTCCAAAAAGTGTCTAAAAACACCATTTTTGGCCGTTTTCGAAAAATTTGCCTGCGGCGAAGAAATTTTGGTCAAATTAGGGTCTTTATAGTGGTTTGGGAGAGCTCAGAAAATCAATTTGGCCAACCTAAAAAAAAGGTCGACAAAATGTTCAAATATTTTTTTGAAAATCTGCCCCCCCCCCCCTTCGAAAAATTCTTAGATCCGCGCCTGCTTCGGAGTATCACATCGAGTATTCTAACTAAAGATTTGATATTTTAAAAAAGAGCAGGCAGCAAAAGAGAGCAATTTCATGACGGAACATTTTTGTGCCTATTTACCATATAAAAAGCTGTTTTTTAAAAGAAAATGGTCGAATGTAGGGGGTATAAAGAGGCGTTACAATTGAAAAATTGTTTATGAGTACAGCGATCACTTAGATCTAAGAATTACAAACTTCTTCTGTTCTCCGCTGAATGAGACACGTTCGCCCATACGATTCAGATTAATTTTTGTAAACTTATATAAAAACTCTGTATCAAGACATCGTTAATACATTTTTTTATAATACAGAGGCAAAACGGAGCTTCGAGCCACTTGCGATACAGAAATGAATGACTCTGACTAAGAGCAAATGAAAATAAAAATCAAAAGTTGAAAAAAAACCTTCAAAACCTTCGAAAATTTTTTTTGTTATACAAATTATAAAACATGGAAAAAAGGACAAAAAAATTCCAAAACAAAGTTACATCTGCTATTAGAAACTTTACAACAAATGCTACAAAGAAATGCTTCAATGAAAATTGGAAACGAACTTCTGGTATTTGTCATCTCAAGCGTAGGTGTTACCAATGCACAAAACACTCCTTGAATTTAAAAACGAACAACTTCCAAAAAAACTTAATCAACAGCATGAAAAAAAAAGGTAAAAATAGCCAAAAGAATAGATAAAACTTCTCAGAACTCAACTAGTTGCTCAAAACAGGAATACGCTGAAAGTTTTTTTATTTTTAAAAAAATTACCAATTTTTGGCTAGATGTGGTGCTGCGACAACTAAGCTGACAAAAAATGACAAACAAACATCCGACAAAATTTTTTTGACGCGCTGACAATTTTCTGCTTACAAAAAAACTTAACGTCTGACTTTTGATTTGATATGAACTACAGGGTAAAATGATTCATGTGATTCTGTTAAACTAATTCTTGATAATCCGAAAAAAGTCTATCTATTTGCCAGTTTGATAACGACGCTGGCTAAACGCAAGCATAATTATATTACGTTACATCACAAGTCACTTGCTCTCTACAGAAAAATCATTCGGTTGGTTTCATATAGAAAGCCCTCAAATTTACACAATTTCATAAACTACCTGGCATTTAGGCTCTTCTCTCTCTGGATATCCTTGAACTGGACAGCCTCCTAGGAGTTGCTTTGGCTATTCTGTCTGGATTATGTTTCGTCATCATGATTTCCAGAGTCCGCAACTATCAGCAATATCCACCCAGCTGGGCTCTTCTGGGATACATGTCTGGAACTACAATAGCTGGACTCCTTACATACAGACCCCTCTCAGATTCAATTCAATGTTTATATTTTTTGAAACTAATCGCAATAGCTTCTATGATATGCCAATCAATCGCAGCTTATTGCATGGTTCGCGGAACTTCCGACGTTACCGTATCCGGAACATTCGTGATCCAAACATCATCTTCAGTCTTTACTTTTCTAGCTCAGATCTTCCTGTTTCCAGATCGAATTACAATTCTTTCTACTGCGGGAACTGCTTTCATAGTCGCCTCGGTGCTGATACAAGTTGTGGTTTTAAAAGTGAGAGAACGAAATTTGAAGTCTAACTCGAGATGTGATATCGAGATATCATAGTAAGCTGTCGCATTATTCAATTACTGTCAATTACGGTTATTTAATTTAATAAGAATTACTTAATTGAAACAAAGGTTGGTTAATTGTCAAACAGATGAATCATTTATCTTAATGGAGCGTTAAAATCGCCGCGTTGAAATATTCAGAAAAAGCATTGAAATTATTAAAAACTAACTAATTCAGGCTGGAACTAGGATTTTCTCGAGAGGAGGAATTAAAAAAGATGAAAACTTCAAACATTTATATTTTTAAGGTCGACCAAATTGATTGACGCAAGTTAATTTTTGGAAGTGCATACCAAAACTGGCGGAAAAATGCGTTTCTTTAAGCGCGTGCGCTTTGTCTCAAAATAGGTATACATGGGCTTCTCAAACGCATTTAGAAAAATTTAGAGTCAATTATCGTAAAATTGCACAAAAAGGAGACTCCTTTGAGCGGCCAGAGAATCTGATCCCAGAAAAAGGTGTCCATTTAACCCTAGAAAGCGCTTATTATGTAGGTTTGCATAGAAGTAAACATGTTCTTAAGAACTTTGAGAAGCAACGTTTTTAGTGCATCAAACTACATTCTGAGCTTATCAAAAAAAGTTTGAATTATGAAGAATTGCAAATGAACAACTTTAATTTTGAAAACGTTTAAAAAAGAAACGTCATTAACTATATTTTTGAGCTCACAAAAAGTTTTCTTAAAAAAATGGAAACAAAAAGTTTTCAAATTTGTGACTATGTTTGTAAAGAAGTTTTACGAATCACCTCAGCTAATACTTGTAGGCTTACCAAATAAAAACGACTTTTAAAAATATGCAACTTCTAATTTTGCGAAATTGCTAACATGTTTTCAAAATTATTGACAAGCAAAATTCTTTGATGCACCAAATTATATATGTCACCTTACCAGAAAAATGACTCAAAAAGCATGCAACTTACATGTTTCCGAGTGAATAACTCATTTTTAAAACATCTTTATTTAGCAAACGTGTTGGTGCATCCAACTTTGTTTCTGAGCTCAAAAAAATGTTTAAAATGTGTAGTTAAAAGGTTTCCGAAGAAGTAAGCAAAATATCTAAAATTTTAAGAAGTAACGTCATTTTTAAAGCCTTAAAGCACAATTCTGAGCTCAAAAAATGAAAAACGTTTGTAAATGATGTGTATTTTAGAGGTTCCCAAAAAAGTGAACAGGTTTGCAAAAATATCTGGATCAACTGTACAATTCCTCCATCCATCAAATCGATTTAGGGAGGAAAAATATAGATTTTTTATTAAGCTTTCAGTGTTGCCTAGATTCGTTTAGAAATAATCATCTCACTAAAGAACATTCAATTAAAACATCAATTTGTGTAATTAACAGCATACAAAAGCAATGCCGCATAAAAAGTAAAAAATTTATTTGTGTCTGAAATGCATATTTTTACAGAAATAATTTTCAGAATTAATACATACTTGGGAAGGGCATTCCACGGTAGGTCACTTATGGGAGAGGGGGGTGATTGTACGGTTGATCTAAGTGTTTAAATGGCTATTTTTTCAATAATCAAAGTATACTTCTGGGCTCACCACAAAAACGGATTATTAAAATTATGCAATATATAGGTTTCCAAAAGAGTAAACAAGAATTAGTAGATATTTAAACTGTTGAGTGAATAAAACAATACTTCTGAGCTCACTGCTGAAAATGGTTTAAAAAGCGTGTAATATACGAGTAATATTTGCTTCCAAAAGACTACACGTTTTCAATTTAAAGAGTACTTTTAAAATTTAAACTACATTTCTGAGCTCACTAAAAATGATTCAAAAATGCGTGATATGTAGGTTCGCAAAGGAGTAAATATGATTTTGCAAACTATAAATAAGCAATGTTTTTAGTGCTTTAAACTACTTTTCTAAGTTTATCGCGCAAAAAGTTCTAAAATCTAAATTTCAAAATCACTTTATTCGTAACTAATTTTCTGAACTAACGAAAAAAGTCATTTTGAATTTATGAAGAACAAATAGAAATTGATTGAAGGGTTTTCTTCGAAAACTTTAGGAATTCCTTATAAGAGAGAAATACTTAATATGTGAGCATTATTGGATTATTATTATTATAATTCCTAGGATCTGGGCCACTTGAATCGAATTGAATGCAATGTTCGCTTGATTTCTAAAACAGTTCTTATCTGAGCGTCATGGGGCAAATTGGGAGCTATTGACGGTAGCGTTCAATTGCAAACCCGTTCAAATAATAAGAAAACTGTTTGGTATATATATTATGGCCATTGGAAATCAAATACTTACCACTAGCAGTTTCAAATCGCGCATCATAGCCTTGAGTTAACGGCTATTTTCTTTAAAAGCTCCAGGTGACCAAAAAACGACTTAGTTTGCAAGTTTTTGAATTTCAATGCAAGTCAGAAGCGAAGCGGACATTCGCATCTTCTGCGATACGTCACGAACCTAGAACAAGCTAGATGAGAAATTACAATTAAGGTTAAAAGTACAACTCGGAAAAACCAGCAAAAATTATCGACACAGAGGCGAAGCTGCACGTCGCAACATTATCAAAAATTGGCAAAAAGTAGCCCCAAAAGAGTCAGAAAGTTATAACGAAAAAAGTTTTAAAAAAATCTGCATCGTGCCGGTATTGAAACCCCGACCACGAGATTAGAAGTCAAACGTCCCAAAATCTGCGCCATGATCGCTCACGATTCTTTAAGCACTAGCCAAAAAAATATGTACTCAAAATATGTCTATGCAGTCACCCTCGCAGAAATGCTGATTTTTATCCAATAAATAAAAATGGTTCGATTAAAAGATTTAGTTCGTGATTTAGAGACAATTGCTTTATAAAATAATTATTCTCATTTCGTGGCAAAATGGCGCATCGAATGCAATGGCGACCTGCAATCACTTGACTGCAGTCACAAACAAGAGCTCAATTTACAAACTGAGCGCTTGTAAGCTGGCAATAGCTCAGTTAATTTTCAATAATTAAACTCCGACCATAACCTCAGGATAAATAACTTAAGAATTTTTAATCATTAAAAAACGACATTATCTTAGAACAATTTGAAACGTTAGAACTTTTTATGATAGAATAAAAAAGAACTGATGTTCAGTCACTTGCTTGATTTTCAAAAAAAATTGAGGAAAAACTTCCGCTGGACTTTTGCTATGATTTTAGCCTTAATGTGAAGCGTTAAATTTACAGGGTTACTTTTGAAGCTTTCTTGGTTTAATATTTTTATTTAATTATCATGGCTACTGCTAACTTGTCAACTTGCATGTTTACTGCTAACCCGCCAATCAACAGAAAAAAAATGGTGGAAATAGAGGCCCTCAAATGTGAAAATGCTGATCAAAGACAGGATATCGCAAATTTAAAGGATATCGCAAAATATGAGAGTTTGGGTGTGGCTCGAAGAGGTTGATGGGGTTATAGCACTAAAAAGGTACTCAAGAAAAGATTGCATAATAGTCGTTAACACTCCCCCTTCTTTTCCCTTTGCTGCACGTGCTTGTGCAAACCTGGTGAGACATTGTCAATTTTTTCTGCAATTATGTCGAAAATGAACGTAAATGCGACCGGGATCAAAGCTTGTCATGATTTCTTTGGGTCACGATTATGGAGTTTTATTTCTCAGGCTTATAATGAAGATCACTTTTTTAAAAACCCATTTTTTATGGTGCAGCGATATACTTGAAAATTTTCGAAAAACCCATACATTATCACCGATGTTTTTAAATGAGAATGGCCAAAAGATGAGGCTTTGCTCACAACATTGCATCAAAGCAAGTGAATTTCACAAGCACAAGAAATTGCGTTAACTTCGTATTGAAAAAGGAAACGCTCAAAACGGTATTGAGTATTTAAATATAAAGAAGGTAGAAAGCTTGGGTAAAAATCAAAATGCGGTCAAAAAAGCAGGACAGCGTACAATTGGCAATATTCGGGGAAAAAGTTGAACGCAGAGTCGAGAACGTCTCCAGAAAAAATTGAAGCCAGAAAAATCTTCGAGAGTTTTTGTAAATCCCAAAGTAACTGCTCAGTTATTCTGATGGGAATATAGATTAAGTTGAATAAAACTTTGTTTATGTAAAATTTTTCATTGAGAAGTGTCTGATTACGCAGTCTCACACGATTACAATAATAATTTTTGTTTGCATAACAATAACATGGTTGAACAATGTTACAGATCACGGAATTCTCAAATTAGGTGGATCAGTCAACTTAACATTGCTGTCGGAAAGAAAAGGAGAAGACATTGACAGTTAAATAAGAGCGGATATAGATTTTCCGACGTAAGAAATCTAACCGTAACGATGTATGGAAATAAACAACCAAATTATCCTGTGCTATTTAAATACTATTTTCTTGTTATGTTTTCTGTTTGCTTTCAATGAACTAAAATCGGCACACCTAGTTTTTTCATTTATTCATTTTTTGTTCATTTTTATTGCCACTGGAAAGTTACATCAGCCGTTTGGTTGAAGAAGAGGATATATAGAGGATTAAAATACCATTTTTAAGCTTGTTTAAGATAATATTGAAGCTTCTAAGTTAACTTTTGTTTCTCTCAAGAACACAATTTTTCGCTAGTCGTTTTTTTTGTTCGCGATGCCGGAGGTTCTCTTTCAGAATATCAGACCACATAGCAGAAGCTTTCGTGAGCTGCAAGTTTTTTTTTTAAATTACTCAAGTTGTCATATTTTTTGTTTGCTTAACGATAACATGGTTGAACAATGTTAAAGATCACGGAATTCTCAAATTAGGTGGATCAGTCAACTGAATATTGCTGTCGGAAAGAAAAGGAGAAGACATTGACAGTTAAATAAGAGCGGATCTAGATTTTCCGACTTAAGAAATCTAACCGTAACGATGTACGGAATTTAACAACCAAATTATCTTCGGTAAAGTAGACCACAATATTAGGCTGCGTATACATTGTCCCACGTGCCAACATTGAAAATACTAAACTTTTAGAGCATTAGTCAATGACATCGATTTTTACGAAGTTACTGAAAACATTGTACGCGGGAATTAAAAACTCAAACACTCCAGAGGAAACACCGGAAAGACAACAATTCAAGAGTTGCTTAGCAATCAACCTTCAGTTTGTTCAGTTATCTGCTGCTTCACGTGAACAAAACAATTCTAAATTACTGATTGATATGTTTCACAGCAATCACAATAAAAACTGTGAATTTGAAAAACTGTGAACCACAAAAGGATAAATTATCTGCTAAATGTGAAACTAATTTCCAAGTAGATACTTTAATAGCAAACCGAAGACCACGTAGATAATGGACTATTTCTCATCCGAGAGAGTAGTTTTTCCTTTACAACATAAAAGACAGAAACCAAACAACTATGATTATAAAAAATGCAACACGAATTACAGAAAAAAAACTGCGTAATTAGCCGAGTGAAAAATTTCATAAAAAGAGACAGACTATTCCATGAAAACTAGCGATCCAAAGAAACTCAAGAATCCAACGACAAATTTTGTAAATACAGAAATCAGACAAAATATATAATAAACATAGCTATGAGAGACTATGTAAAAATACAATCAACTACTTATCATAAAACGGATGCTGGCAGTTCGTATTATTCTATCTCTGAGGTAACAGGCAAAGAAAAAATCTAATGTGCCTATATCTTTTAAGGTAGTTTGTGACAAATCTATTTATTTCTTTGCAGCAGTAGGGTCAAAAATGAAAAAACAGTTCCGATAAACACCGAAGATAGCTCTGAACTATTTTCTTTTCATAATGTATTAACTAGTGAAAACGAACTATCGAATATTGTAAACTGCCTTCCCTGCAAATTCCACACAGACGCTCAAGGTTTCAATGATTTCTCTAAAAAAACTGAAAGTGTTTTGTACTTGTACTAACAAATGTCTCAACCATTGCCTAATGCACCCCCTTTTTCCCGATGTTTTTAAATTGGCTGAGGTAACTCTAACTCATAAAGATGGTGATCTCTCACAAGCGGATTAAAATTGAACCTTAATTAATACTTTCTATTTTCCGTAAAGTGTTTAAGCATTTGCTCTAATATCACATCATAAATTATCTTGAAAAATTCAATCTTCTCACACCAAAATAATACAATTTCAGACAAAAAGGAAAACTATTGATGCATTACTTGAGACCTCTCCCAAAATAATTGAGACATCTGGACTCCCAAAATAATTGAGACATCTGGAAAACAGTTCAAAAAATGTCGATGTAAATTATTTGGAATAAAAAAATCGTTTAAACAGTTGAACATTCTATATTATTTCCAACTACAGTCTTAGAATAAGAAATGTGATTGATTTAGTTGATTAATTCTCGAACAAAAGAAATCCATGATCACATAGTTATCATTTATCTGACCACAAGATACACATTCCAAGTTAGCTTCGTACTAATCCATCTATCTTCAGGAAGCGCATTTAACAGGCGGGGATTTTTTTAAAGCTTGCTAAATTATTTTTCGAGCTCTCTTAAAAAACGAAGGTCTTCTGTTAAAATTTAGAACGTAGCCAACAGACAGTTGGAAAAGAGTCAATGACCGCACATAAACATAAATAAAATCTGAAATTTTTTGAAACAATTCAAGAACAGCCAATCGAAGATTGGAAAAGAGTAATAAACGCAAGTAAACAAAAACACTTTGTGGAAAAAATATCAACTTTCCGATTTCAAAAAAAATAGATGCCCTTTAAGCTCTTTGAATTTCTAGAACGATTTATGATTGGCACTTTTTTGATAGCATTAACCCAACTTGAGAAAACTAGATTAACAGGTAAAATTTTCATTCCGCTGAAAATCTTTTGAGTAAATTTCAGCAGATGAATTTCAATTGAACTCAAAAAGTGCATATATACCTAAGTCCACCATGATTTTAGGAGTTTATACTGAAGAAAAATCTGCAAGACCAATATAAGAGTCTTCACTACTTTCATTACTTTTTAAAAATAGATGGCGTTAAGCTCTTTCAGAAAAATTCCTGATTGACCCTTTTTTGATAAAAATAACCCTATGTGAGAAAACTGGATCAAGTAAATTCCTGCAGATAAAATGTTCTTCTCGCTAGGAAATCTTAAGAGTCGATCGAGTTTTCGTGACCTTTACACTTTCGCTGTTCGATAATGTAGTTCGTTTTCCTTTTAAAAAAAGAAATGAAGTAAACTTTGAAAAAATCACAAGTCAAACAGCGAAAAACTTAATTTGAACCTAGACATATTTTCGTACTGAAAAAAAAAATTGCGGCCTACATAAGAGTCTAAGTGACGTTAATCGACTCTTAAAAACGACTAGAAAAATCGTTCAAAGAACTATGGAAACTTTTGATTGAACGTCAATTTTATTGTCGTCGTACTCTATCCTCAAAATGCGTACTTTTCGTGAAATGCATTTTTTACAGAGAGCCGAAGCTGCGCTTCACAAACACTAGCCAGAACACGACAAGAAGCTCTATAAAAAAAACAATAAGTAGTGATAAACCTCAAACTAGTAAAAATTCGGCAACATCTGAGATCGGACCTGCGACCTAGCGATTAAGAGTCTCAAACACTAAGCACTCAGCCACGAAGCTTAATAGGTACCAAAAAACAATCACAATCAAAGCAGAGAACAGATTCTTTGCAATTGCCAATGCGTCAGTGAAATTTCCAAATAAGTGAACACTTTTGATGAACACTTTTATTTGCGAGTTAGGTTAGAAAAAAAAAGAAATTTCGTAATAATACACTAAGCTGATGTCGCAAATGTAATCTATTGAAAACTGATGTAAGGGAATCGACGTAGTATGGCACCAAGGGTGAAACCTTGAGCAATAAATTTACCAAATCTTTACGCTTACCCTCCAATTAAACAGCAACTGATGTCTCCACAAAAAAGATCAACGGAAAAGTCAATTATTTCTGTAATGCGGCCAGCAGACTTTTACAAAATGCAAAGAAAATATAGAAATCATGGAAGAATTCAGACTTATCGCACAAAAATTGAATCTTTGCTCGATAGATGAAGTTTAAAACTAATCAAATGTATGCTAACTTAAATTAATTACAAATTATTACCAAAATAGAATCGCAGTGCGAAACAACACAAAATAATCAAGATCTATTAGGAAAAACTAAAATTTAGAAAACTTTGGCCCGATTAGAGAACAGAAATTGAATGATGTTTATAAGAAAGCCTTGCATTTAGGTGAAATGCATGAAGTCAAACGGCAGCAGATTAAGCAAAGTATTTTGAACCACCAATTAAAAGCCATTTAATCATCAGGTGTTCATGTTATTTGTGACAGCATGTTATAGCTTATATTAAACAACTCAAAAATGTTCGAATATTTGAATTTTTTCATTTTTAAAATTTTAAATAAATGAAAACTTTTCGTTTATTTTTAATCTGCTTGCAATTTGCCTATATTATTAAGGCGAATAGAAATAAGCACTATAGAGAAGTTTCACTGGGGGGACTGCTGATGTTCTGCTTCACTCTCTCCCCCTCCTCTAGAAGATTGATTCTCTGTCTGAGCACTTTCACAGTGGTCTCGTGTCTCTCGCAGATCGCCTTCATCTGACACTCCAACTTCTTCAGTCTGGACGAGTGTTTCTTCTTAGCTTTGTCGTAGGCCGAGATTAAAGCACTACAACAACACAATATATTCAAGTAATAAAACGGATAAAGACACCTTAAATCACTAAATCTTTATTTTATTAATACCTTTCCTATTTTAGAGACTTCGAAGCTATGTGAAATGATATTTTTCATATTCTTCCAGTCAACGAAACCGATGTGCACACTGTCGAAAACCCACTTAATGAAGTCTTTGATTTGACGAATATTTGACTTGCATAAAGCTGAAAAATAAAGCATTCAGTCCTTCCGACTTTACGGCTCATTCAACGGTACAATTCCAGCTCCCATTAATGTGTTGATAATGAAATGCATCTATGCATAATCAACGTTCTTCATCTTTCTGTCCATCTTTTCATCAATATTAAGAAAACCTTTCATCTTCGTCTTCATCAACACGCTGTTTTTTGGCCTGTTATGCAATTGTGTAATGCCACTTATTCTTAAGCCTGCAGTTGTGAGGTGTTGTGAATGATCTCTCTCACCTGTTAGCACGTTTGAGATCTGCCATGTACTCTGCACTGTGTCTGTCCTTGACCTCGCAGTGTTTGGACAGAGTGTCCAGGGCACTCACCAACTCCTCCATCCTCCCCTTCAGCTTCTCCTCCCGCTTCTTAGCCGCCGCAATCTCCACTGCTGCAGACGCCACTGATGTCTGCTGCTGCGAGTTCGATCTGATAACACAAAACTGATAGCAACACATGTAAATCTTAATTCTTAATTGACCCTCTCCACCATGACTTCGAGGTTCAATATCAATATTTTTTCAGTCCGGTCGAAAATTGCAAAAAAAAACTTCCTCAGAAGTCAGTTTCAGAGGTTCTGAATAACTTTCTTGAGAGCACGAAAACACCAATTCGTTGATCCAATACATGCCAAGTATATTTTTTCATAGCATTCCATTATCCGTAGTCACCGCTTGAGAAATCTTACCTATGACCAATTCTTATGCAAATATAAATAACATCTAAAATAAAGCCGCTGCGTTCCATACAAAATGATCAAATCCTAGTTGCAAAAACTTTTGACTGAAGAAGCGTCAAAACTTGTAATCTTCACTTTATATTTTACTCGTCATTTAGCAGTTCCGAGCTCCGTGAAACAGATAGAAATTGCCTGTTTTGCGCAAACTGGCCTGTATTAAAGTTTTTAAATAACCTCTCCGAATGCATGACCCCACTGTGACCTCTATTGGCAGGTGAAGAGGGGCCACCTGCAGATGAACCCAGTCGCCCTCCAGCCACTGAGCTGAGTTGTTCCAGAGTGATAATTGGAGTAGTGGAAGAGTTGGAGTTGTTGACAGCGTTGGCTGAGAAGGAAGAATTGTGTTCTGAACCAGATACCGGTTCACTCTGAAATCAGACACATTTACTTTTATCTTTCCACTGTTGAACAACTACCATTTTAGATTACCTCAAACTCTGCGTTGAAACTTCCTCTTAACTTCAGAACAATTATTTCTAAGCTACTGCTTTTTTTGAAATTTTCAAAATTTTAGTTTTTCTACCAACTGAGACAAAAAAATCACAACTTGGTGCTTTCTGACGGCAATTAATCAAATTACTCACTTTGGAAGCACTGGCTGATGAGCTCAAAGTAGAAAAGGCACTTCTTGGACTCTGCGAGAACCCTCCCACACCTGTTTGACCTTTGATCCCAGTGGCACTGCCCTGGTAACTGTGACTGGACGAAGTGGACCCCATTTTCGGCTTCTGGCTGGTCCCCCCAACCCCAGAGTCGCTTCCAGTTGAACCCCCCTGTTTAATCTGGTTGTCTCCAGACTGTCCATTACTGCTGTTGTTGTTGTTGTTTATTTTCTGCTGTTCCAGAAGTTGTTTCAGGTGATCCACTTGCACTGAGTATGCATTGAGTTGTGCGTCATGTGATGCCTTCATAGTATTCATTTGTTTCTTCTCTTTCTCAATTAGATACATTTGGGCTCTCAGTTCAGCTTTCTCTTCCTAAAAAACAAAACAAATTAGCATAAATAGAGACAAAATGGTAATTATTATTCACGCCTCCCGATTTTTGGTTGAAATAAATATATTTGCATTTTCCACACTTTTTTCACATTTTCTCGGGTCTAGCTATAAAACTAATTTAGACTAACAGTTTCAAACACGTCAGATTTTAAACATCCTACTGTTAATAATTGCTAACTCCAAAATTGGAATTGTTAGCGAGTTCGACAGTCTTCTTATTCAAAATGTTTCATTTACTCTGCCTCCTCTTCATATATTACTTAAGTTGGCCAACAAACAATCTTGCTGTTTATGTGTGTCTTTATTCACCTTGAGTGTCATGAGTTCCTGGGTGAGTACAGCATACTCTAGGTCCTGTCTCTGGGACTCGAATGCAGCCAACATGTCCGCCTCCTGCTTCAGTCGCTCCCTCCTCTGTCCCATTTCATCCACACTCAACACATTGTTCACACTTGTTCCATTGTTCATCTGCTGCTGTTGTTGTTGGTATAGAAGCAGCTGCTGTTGCTCCTCTTCTTTCTTCCGCTTCATCTGAGTCGCAAACTCCGGGTCCATGTAGATGCTCTCCAGCTCCACAACTAAACACAGTTGCTTAACTTCTCCAAGAGCTTAAGTTATCCTAGTATCTTTTTTCTAAAAAAGCATTCTTCAATGCCGTTCCGATCAATTTGCATATCCATATTTCGCTTACATTGTTTTAAAATAAAACATAGCCGAGTGATAGTTGGAAAAGAGTAATGAACGCAAGTGAACATAAAAACACATTGTTTGAAAAAATCTCAAATTTCGAATTTCAAAGAAAATACAGATGCCCTTTGAATTTCTAGAACAATTCGTGATTAGCATTTTTTTGATAACATTAACCCAATTTGAGAAAACTGGATCAAAAGGTAAAGTTTTTATTCCGCTGGAAATCTAAAAATTAAATTCCACTTTCGAAACCAGCAATTCTTCACGTTTTTTTCTCGCCATTTCCACATTCGTATTTGGAGAGTATTATTTACGTCACTTTCAGCAGATTAATTTCAATTGAACTCAAAAAACACAATATCAATATACATAAGTGCACCAATAGTTTAAAACTTTTTCCTGAAAAAAAACAAACAAAAAAATCAGCAAGACCTATATAAGAGTCTTCACCACATTCATTACTCTTAAACAACAAACTTCTTCAGCACAACTTTTGTCTTGCTTCTTTGATACATGACCTTAAAAAGCCAGGATATTAAAAACGATGTTTTTGAAACAGAGGAGCAGATTATTTAGCAGGAACTATGGGTGGATATTGTTCAGCAAATCAATTTATTACCTGTGAGTCTGACTTGTGTGGTCTCTGTCTTGAGCTGTCGGATGTAGTCCCTCAGTCTGTTCTCATCCAGTTTGGACCAATCCGACTCCACACTAGTGGCACTATTGGTCGAACTCGTGGTGCTGAACACAAAACAACATTTACAAAATGCAACATTGGAAAAAATATTAGTGTCTTATGATTTGATTGTAAATGCTATAAAACTTACAGTATCTTCAAGCCCTATCCCTAATATTTGAAGAATAAATTGAAAATGAAAAAATTATGGAAGTCGAAAAGCGAATAGTTTTCGATATATAAATAATTTAAATAGTAGCCCTGAGGCGACGAGATCAGCTGATCTGTTTCAAGCCTACCCAATTAAGCAATATTTAAAAATCTAAGAACATTTAAAAATGATTGAACTGAGCCAATTTGATTTTCAACTTAACTTTGAAATGCAAAAGTCGAAATGCAGCGCTCGCTCCCACATTTACTCTATTTTTGTCTTAGATGCAAAACAATTCTTCGTACAGATTATCGGGACGAGTAGTGGAAATAAAGAAGTTAGATACCTTGTTCGATCCTGTGAGGAGCAGTCATCCACATTACTTCCACTGGCGAAAGGGGATGCCATGTTGTTGGACCCTCTGTCAAGTCCACTGCCTCCTGTAGCTAGTCCCCCCTTCGAAGGCGACAAGGAGTCCATACCTATGACCACAATTCCAATAACGTATGTAAATCAAGTTCAAACTACTATACAAACTACTATACTTAGCAAAACAGCTCTTCCATGTTTTCAAATCCTTCACAAAACTATGTATTGATATGTCACCGCTATTTAAAATATTTACTAAAATCTTTTTGAATTTTCTTCACCATATTTAATTTCTTCTTTTGCTGCGTTAAAACACGTATTTTACTGTTCACTTAAAGTCTACGGCCTGTTAAGAAGAAAAGCTAAGACGAAGTTCTGTTGCGAAAATATTCGACGTTTTAAATAAGAACATCTTCAACGCATTCAACAAAGCATACCTCCTAAATTATTCTCCCCACAAATGACTCTATTCGCCTTCGCAAATGTCGTGTCCAGATGTGAGAGGATAGTTTTGGCCACTGTTTCCGCATGACGTCTGCTAGTTCTACTTTTCTGCTTCATCGACAACTTTTCTTCCTCTTCGGCGACGTAAGATTTGATTCCAAGCATTGCATACTCGTCTTCACAGTCAGAAAATTCTCCTACACAGATAATTAAACTATCAAGTATCAATTAAAACCCAGACACTATTTAGAACTTAAAACAGAATTGGGATCATCAGATACTACTTAACCATTTTTTGCATCGCCTCAATTCTAAAAAAAATGCGAACTGATAAAATTTCAACTCCACCTTTAAAACGAACAGCTGGAATATTTATTAGTAGTCGCTACTATTACTAGTAGTAGTCGTTACTTTTACCATGGACAAAAGCATCAATTTCTGAGAGAGCTTCAAACGAGATATCTCAAGAAAAAAAAGAGAAACTAGTAAAGCTGTCAGATATTTTCATCGTGTCTAACCTAGCATAGAGTATGTCAACTGGTTCGAGTTCGATCCCACACTTGGCAACCTTGGACTCCTCCCTACTCCTGCTGAAGATCCCAACGCCAATAGACTCTCTAACGCCTCAACACACAAATCAGAGTAGTCCAGTGCAATCTTCAGAGCTGTAGTATTACTCTCGTACTTCCCACACAGTAACGCCAGTCGCTCCGAAGTGGATTTGGATTCTTCGAGCGTTAGCTGCAACAGATCAACCTCAGACTGTATTCTGTCCACTTTTGAGACTGATTTGTTCAACTGCAACTCCAGCTCAATTATCCGATCGTCCGCTTGTGGAGTTGAATCGCCGCCATCTTCACTGTTATTATTATTATTGTTGTTATTCTGATTGCACTTTCTGCTGTGTGAACTTGTGGTGACGTCACTTATGGTTTCAGTTGTATGTGAACTTGAGCTGTTCTGGCGATGTGCGAATGGTGATGATGGGGATTTGAAGAGGTCCGCTTGCGTATTGGTATCACTAGTTAGGTTCAGAGAGCGTGAACTGTCACTTGTATTGCTGGGCTTACTGCTTAGTTTTGATATCTGAAACAAAATCGTTCCTATGTGCGATTCATGAAGTAATTCTTACTAGTTAAGCCCGAGCTATCTTAGCCAATGATATTTGAAAACCTTTCTAACTTGATGCGAAAACCATTATTTGGGCAAAAAACTTCCCGAGTATTTTCCAGAAATAAGACTGAGAAAGGTAAGATCTACAAAAAAATAATCAGTCTTAAAAAGATATGGTTCGCAGTAAGCTAAATCTTATGTGTCTTACATTTTCGGAGGCACTTCCATTTCTAGGAGGGAGCAAGGGAGGAGGCCCACTGGGCAAGGGTCCCGCCCCAACCACTTTACTCCCTACTCCCGCTGTAGCACTCTGAAACATGTGATCACACTAAACAGCGGACAAATCAGCAATCTTCTTAACAGAGCCACAATTACATGAGACTGATATTTTCCATACAATAACCGTCAAATTTACATAAAATGTAAAAAAAATATATGTCTAATCAAATTCTTCATTGCACGAAAACTGGACTTAAAAAACGCTGGCTTCTGAATTTTTCACTCACACTTAGTTGTTTGTTGAACTTGTTCGGCAAGGTGAGTGAATTATATGCTGACATTGCAACATTGTTATTCTTGTCATCTCTAATTGCCCCGCCTCCACCCTGCAGCTGCTTCTGCGTCGCCTCAAGTCTCTTTTCCAAGTCCCTCTTTTCAACTTCAATCACACTCAGCTGTCGTCTCAACTCTTCATTCTCCTTTTTGCACTTGTTCAACTGTGAGTCTAGATTGCTGATGACTTCGTTCTTCTGTCGAACTTTCTCATCTGCGACTGAGTTTGTGGTGGGCGATGTGAGGTTCTGTTTGGACTGAGTTCTGCCGGAGGGGCCTATTATTGGGGTTCTGGAAGGTTGGTTGGATAGTTCCAATTTGGCTAATTCTTTACACGCCTACAATACATGTTTCCATCATCGCGAGTTCATGTCGAACACCAGTAAAACTTAATGATAACACGCCAGCAGACAGTTGATAAAAGAGTCAATGAACGCACGTAAACATAAAAAATACGGGCTTTCGAAATTCCAAGAAAAAATAGAAGACCTTAAAGCGCATCGAACTGCTAGAACAACTTATGACTGATACTTTTTTTTGATAAAAATTACTCAATTTGAAAAAACCTAGATCAATAGGGAAATTTTTTATTCATCTTGGAAAAACTGAAAATTGAATGCCACTTTCAAAACTAGCAGTAGATAACGTTTTCCTTTACACTTAAGCTGTTCAATGGTGGAGTTTGCCTTCATTTGAACAAAGGAAATAAAGTGAACTTGAAAATAAATCAAAGTCAAACTGCGAAAAAGTTAACTTCAGTGTGAACAAATTTTGAGATTTTTCCTGAGAATCGAAAGAAAAACTCATCGCGACCTGCATAAGAGTCTGCACTACGTTCATCGACTCTTGAAAAAAAATTGTTTAAAAAGCCGAAATAAAAAACCAAAAAACTCACAAAAAAAACAATCTATTGAAATCATAATAAACACAGGCGAAGCTGAGCATCACTTGCGATACAACCAGATTTATCCAAATGAATGAAGATTGTTGTGAAAAAAACATGCCAAAACAATAGAAAGCTAAATCAGCATCAGATTAAAATTAACCAAGCTGTGACAAAGCCGAAAATATCTGAGCATACTCTTCAAGCCAATTTTTTTTTTTCAAATTTAAAACTAGTTGAAAATTTTTATGTCCCCTTCCCTCATAACACAGGCACACAAAAAATGTCGTAAATCAAGCGACGCAAAATAACGCTACTAAGCCGATATAAAAACAAGTTGAAACGTAATAAGCCGGAATAAAAAAAATCTCAACAAACCGAGCGGTGAAAATGCAACTAGCTTAAAAAGTGCGGCGGGGAACGTCAGAATTGTCTTTCCCTTGAACCGACCCACATTTAGGACACAAAGCCGATAAAAAGCAGGCCGAATAAAATTGAGCCGCATAATGTAAATCAAACACTAAAAGCACCATTAATGCGCGCAACAATAAAAACTATTCCAAGATGTGGCAACTAAGCCGAAAAAAGGTAAGTAGACAAATAATTGGGCTACAATTTCATTTGAAATAATAGAATATTTCCCGTTTGAAAAAAACAGGTCCTAGTCAGATTCGAACCAAGGACCTTTGCGTCCCGGGCGTACTCGTTACCAACGGACCAAAAGGGCCGGGACAGCTAGAGATGATGCCATATAATACATGTCCTGTGAACAAAGTTATTGCAATACCCTTGCTTATCGTAAAGGTAACAATTTATCTAAATTTCGGATCTCAAAACATTCTTTCTGGTGCAATTCCTACAGTAAAAAAGCTTCGGAAAAACAATTTCGTAGCCATTAAAATTAAGAAAATGTCAAGAAACATTGCCAAACAAGAAACATTGTTGGTTTTTCATGGCGATATTACACTCAATAATTTCCTACCATGGCAGTCTGTCTCTCTATGGCCAGAATGAGTGAATCATCGTCCATGAAGTCGCTGTCCATACCTCCCCCACCATTATCACCAGAAGAGGTCACCTTAGGGTCAAACTTTGCGTTCATTCTTTCTCCTTCAGCAGTCCCACTAAAGGCATCCGGAGTTAGGCGGTCATCTGCAAAAAGAAAAAAAAAGATTTGCATGATTCACAACAGAAATGTATCTACGACTACGTTGCCGTAAACAGAACACAATGAAAGGAACAATCAGCCGCTTATACTTGACAAATAACATCAACAGTCAGTTAACATCTAATTTGTAATGATTATTTCAATTAGGAATACGGTTTTAGATCATATAACCAAATAAATTTAGTTTTTCAACCAAGAAATGGAGATGTTTTGATGGCAATAATTTCAAAAGAGTTTTTTTTTTTCAAAATGAGTCTAAGCTGCATTTCGCACCAGATGCGATACAGAATACCAAAATTTAAAAATCTACAGCTATGAGAAAGGATTATGAGAAAAGGGAAGGATTCAATTGAAATTCTTTGATCAAGACAAAGGAAGTTCTTTTTCATTGTTTATTAATCAGAATAAGCAAATTGCAAGCTTAATCAAATTAACTGAATATCGAGACGTCGAAATAGAACCCATACAGATTTTCTGTATAAAAAGTAACATACAAAAATGTTTACCTGGGATTCGTTTGCCTTTTCCGTTTACGTAACTTGATGGTTCCATAATCAGTCTTTCGAACACAAAACTTCAAAAAATAGGAAATGCAACGAGTTAACAGACAAACAGCTAATTATGAATTTATGTCACACACCGGTAAATAGACTTACATCTAAGCCGGCTCAAAATACAAACCAAATCGATCCCAAATCAAAGTAGAATTCTTTATTAACAGAGACAGCTCATGGAAATTTAGTTCGCAGGTTACTCCGGGAATAAAAAATAGGGGCATATAAACTGAGGATAAGGTAATATATGGAAATATAGACAGCAGGCAACTTCAAAGAGTTCAATTTTGGTCGTTTTTATTTCATCACATGGTGTACTATTTTGCTCAGACGCACAAGGATGGTGGATGGTTTCCTAATGTGAGCAGAAGTTCATTCATGCGATTGTTTCAAGTGGGGCAAAAGTGGTGCAAATAACAGAACCACTAGTAAAGGGTCGACTTTGAAACACATGAATTCATATTGAAGCTTCAAACATTGAGCAACCAAAAGAATAAAAGAGAAGATTCATTAACTATCTGCCAAAGATTCCGACTTTCTAATAGAGAGAAAAACTACCTCAAACTCAATGCTTCAGTTGACTCTAGACAACAGTAAACATACATTTGCGCTTAAAATAGTATCGCAGAGCAATTTCTAGGTCTAAGCTCAACGTCAACATGTGACTATTGAAAAGAACATCTAACATAAACAGGTCTACTATCATGCATCGCATTTTCAATTCCTCTGTCAAACTAGCTGTTTTTCGGCTACTTGATCAGTCTACTATTTGCCCGCTCACAACTATCTGACTCACCGTTCGACTCATCATCACTGTTGACATTTTCAAGGTCATCGAAACGACAACAACAATTGTCATCGTCAAACTCATTAGCAGTCTTGTTGTCGCAGCAGTCTTTCACGACTAGCTCAAAATCGGTGCTTAGAGCCTCCAATTCGTGGTGGTTGTGATGATTATTGTGTGTATTGTTATTGGTATTAGCACCATTCAAGTGTTTAATATGTTCAGCAGTTAGATTACTGCCGGTCTTTTTTGGTTTTGTCCCTGAAGTTCTTTGTGGTGAATTGTAGGGCGATTCGCAACAGCAGTGAGTTGAGGTGGAGCATGTTTCTAATGCGATTTCGAGCAAAGGAAAAAATAATTTAGGTTAGCGATCTTTGGTTCAGAAATTGGAAAACTGCTAGTAATGTCGAAGTTAGCTCCAAACGTCTATCCTTTGATAATTGAAATATTTAGTTTCAGTGCGTCTTTGTCTTTGGTATTTATGCACAACAAGAACCAAACAGGAATACATATATTGGAACACAATCGAACAAGCGCACGATTGCGACAAAAAAATAAGAGAAAGCATTTGACATAATTTCACCAAAACACATAGAAAGGTATTCGACTAAAGGATTAATTCTGGCGTGGATCTGTTAAAATCAGCTGTTTTCAGGGAGCCAAATGGCCCTTTTTGCTAACAAATTTGCTAAAAAAACGTCTAATTTTAAAGATCATTGAAAAAAAACATGAAATAATTCGACTAAATGGTGAAAAGACCTGAGCTATTTTATAAATTAAACTCACCCAATGCATCTAGTTCTGTGGTGTATGGATCTCCAGTTCTATTCGCACCCCCTGCAAATTCCATTGGCCTATGGCCTCCCCCGATTACTTTGTTGCCCTTTTGGTTCCCGGAAGCGATTGGAGATGACCTTTGTGTTGATATTCCAGCTGCTAAGGCGAGAAGAGAAATTTCAAACTCTAGGTTTTGAAGCAAATGAATAAATACTAATAATTCAATTCGGCAGCATTTGATAACAACGGATTAAAGTCTTTGTAACACTCTCTAGAAAACGATATTACACCAAGCTAACTAGTCGGTTCATATCAGGTCACACGCCAAATTTGGTATTTGGTAATATTGGTACAAAAATCTACAAGCCAACAAAGCTCAACAAGAGAGATAGTAATTTTTAGCGCAAAATAAAAAGTAACATGTCTATTTTCAGACTATTCTCAAGGTGACAAAAAGTAGTCAAGTGAAAGCTAAAAAAAGAATATATTGGCAATTAATTGCAAAATACGCCAAGCAATTTTCTTCTGTGCTATAAACCACCAACAAAAAATCAAATCACAAACCCTTTAAAAAGGATGTTTACATTGTTTACACATGCGCACCTTTAATTAGTCTTCCATCTGCCTTTTGGTTGTGGTGCTGCGTGTAAGTATTTATTGTGCTGCAATCTGCGCCGCTCTGATTACATTTCTTCTCCCCTCTATTCCCCCCAGATTGATCGGCAGGGGTGGAATTGGTCATTTCAGATTGGTATGAATTAGTTGCTACCTCTAATCCAACTGCTTTGGCTGCAGTTCCCACGGTTCTATTCGTAAAACCATTAGCATTAGTACTGCTCATACCGGTAGAAGAATAGCTGGGATTGAAATGTGATGCGGGTTGACGTTGGGGTTGATTAACCCCCCAGGGGGAGGTAGTAGACGAGGGGGAGGGGACAGAAGAAGGGGGGTTGAGTTTGTTCATCAGATTGAGATGGGCGGCAGCAGTAGTGGAATATTGGTTGATCACGTGTGAAGGGGGCGGGGCCGAAGAGGAAGAGTTGGAATTGGATGCAGCGTCTTCATTTTCCTCATCCACCTCCTCCAAAAATTCCTCGTCTTCCTCTCTAAACGGACACGTTTTAATAAACAGACATCAGCAATACAGGTAAAACAAACTAAGTGGTAAATATAAACAAACAAAAGTAAATACGCACTAGCATATAATAGTAGTCAAAAGATGACAGAGGTTCTTTTTTATTTTAAAAAACGCAACTGAATGTTGTGTATTGAAACTTGATACCATTTCATTCATCTACCTCAGATATGCACCAATTCATAAAACCTGCACAGTTATCTTCTCATTACTAGGTCTCACTAGCTTCCTAATTTGGTAAGTATGAATAAGAGTATACCCTTATATGTAACCTGAGAATCTGTGTTTTTATTGAGTGTTTTCTTTTTTCATTCCTAATCGATACCTATACAAGTAACCTATACCTCAACTTAAAGTGTGGGTTTTTAACGGCCATTGTTGATAACGATTTTCTTCACAAAGGCTGTAACACTAACGAATAATACAGACGAGAAAACAATAAATTCTTCTCAAGACCCTGAACGCGCGGAAAACAATCTTTGAAAAATAAATTTTCCATAACGAGGGATCGATCCTCGGTTGATTTCAAGCATGTGTAAAATCTACCAAGTAAAGCCCGGTTGTTTTAGTTTTGCGTAAAAACCACACGCTATTAAATGGCTCTAAGATTATGAGCTGTTCGCAGATTTTAGACACAAAAAAAACGCGACTGAGATAGGAAACAAGTGGACTGCTCTTATAAGACAAGCACTCTTGGTGTAGCTGCAAAGATTATTTTCTTCTGCTAAAACAATGCATCACGACCTATCCAAGCATCTACACTACGTTCATTGGCCCGCTTGAACCACGTTCAAAGCCGACAGGCAGTTGGAAAAGTGTCAATGAACAATATAAAACCGAAGAAAAAAGAATGACATGATTTTTTTCAAAATATAACCAACAGATGGTTAGAAAAAAGTTTTAAAAAAAAAAACATTTTTTTTTAAATCTGCCGTTTTTCTACAAAAAAAACATAGCCAACAGACAGTTGGAAAAGTTCCAATGAATGCAAGTAAACAGAAAAGAAATACTAATATGTCTCAATTTTTGCATTTTACAGAAAAAATAGATGGCCTCAAAGATCTTTGAACTTCTAGAACAATCAAAGGTAATAACTTTTTATTTCGCTAGGAAATCTGATAATTAAATTCTATTTTTGAAATAAAAATATGATCACGTTTTTCGGGAATTTTACACATTCGCTGTTCGACAGTGGAGTTTGCCTGAATAAATTTTAGGATTTTCCCTGAAAAAAAAACAATCAGAACGACTTTATAAGAGTCTGAGAGACTTTCATCGACGCAAATAGATAACGTTAAAGCTTTTTGAATTTAAAGAATTGCTTACGATAACACTTTTTCTCAAAATTATCCCTGTTAGAATAATCTGGGTCAATACGATAGTTTAATTATCCGCTGGGAAATCAGAAAACTCAGTAAATCAATTTTGAAAAAAAAAAAAACGATTAGCTATTTTGTTACCGTCACATTTTTGGGGTTCAATGGTGGAGTTTGCCTTCCTTTTTATTAAAAAAAAGAACTTGACTTAGAAACAGCCAAACCGCGAAATGTCAAAACTTACTTTGAAAAAAAAGGACAAAAATAAGGATCACGATCCATTAAAGTGACAATGACTTCATCATCATCATCATCATCACATTTGTTATTTCAACACCAATTTCTTGAATTCAAAGGTGTTTGAGTTTAATTAAAAACCAGTTTTGTCGTAAGAATAATCAGTCGTTCCGCTAAAGATGAGTTCGCGTCTGTCGATAGCCGTACCCACTCTAAAATGAGCTGGGATTTGAACAGAAAATGTTCTTTGAAGATGGTTAAAAATCGGACCCGCTCTAAAATGAGCTGGGCGTTTCATCGTCGTCGCCTTCTTTTCACAGCCATTGGATTTTCTATGCTTCTGAAGGCGTCATAAAAGTCCTTAGCAAGTTCGCGCACGCCATTTGCTGTGGGGTGAAGACCATCTGCGCAAACATGCCTCCGATAGCTGAACTTTACAGTTTTAAAGAGCGGGATTTTATACCATGCCGTTAGATTTCTGTAGCATTTATTCACTCTCCTGATAAGAGAGCGTTTACCTTCCCGGCTAATAAGTGACATGACGCCAACTTCGAAATTGCAGTCAAGGAGTCTAAAAATAGCACTCTCCATCTCCTCGGCTACTTCAGTCGCTCCCAATGACTGGCGCCCTGAACGGTCAAACAGGTTGTTTGTTCCTCCCATTATGAGCACTGTTTGTACATCCAAGTTTTTCATATCATTGAGAACCTGATCGCTAAAGGGTTGAGAGAGTTCCACCAGGGCACGAAACTGTCACGGAATCTGGCAGAAAAATCCCCTAAACTAGCGATGATCCCAAAACAGCATATGTCACTCTCTTGATCTTATCAGAGCTCAATATTATCCGTCTTTTGGGGAGAAACCTGGTTTCAACATGAACATTTCTTAAACGCAAGGTTTCGTTTAGCTTTTGAATTCCAACCTTTCTAGTTTCAGTCATTTTAGCAACCTTTAACTGAAACAAGTCTCATAGTAATACTGGTTAAACAAATACGTTTTCAACTGTTTACGAAATTCAGTTTCATTTGGTAGTTTAAGGTTACATGGTAAACTATTCCAATGGTGTGCGGCAGCAAATCTAAACGTCCTTTTTCCATAGTTCGTGTTAACCAGTGGTTTCTTAATGACCATGGTCCTTTCACTGAAACGGGAGGAACTTTTTTGTAGTGAAAAATATTTACTCAGATAAGACGGAACGATTTGAGGATTGAAAATGCATTTGTGTACGATTGTCAAGACTTTAAAAATCACTCGAGATTTTATGGGCAACCAATGTAGATCATGTAGATAAGGAGTAATACTCGTTGACTTCTTCAAACCGAAAACAAATCTGCAGGCACTATTTTGGACTTTTTGCAACTTGTAGAGCAGATAATTTGGTAAGCTCGAGTACAAGCTATTGCAGTAGTCTAATCGACTTAAGACTAGCATTCTTGCCAACATATTTCTATTTTCAAAATCAAGGTAGAAACGTATGCTGTATAGTTTCCGGAGACTGTGGTAACTGGCGCCACACACGGAATCGATCTGTTTTTTCAATGACAAGGATCGGTCAATGAGGCAACCTAAAGACTTCACAGAGTTTTCTGTTGATTTCATCAGCTTAACCGTTGAATTTCCAATGAGTAGTGAACCGTTTGTTAGACCTTTTGACTTACTAGTGGCTAGGTTAATTACTTGGCTTTTTGATTCATTTAACATAAGCCCCATGGACGAAAACCAGTTCGAAATAATAACCAGAGATCTTTCTATTTCTGCTAATTCACTCTCATTTTTAATTTCACAGTATAAAGTAGTATCATCGGCATACACTTGGTATGAATATTTAGTTGAGCCAATAATATCGGTCAATGGTGTCAGGTAGATTGAGAACAGGAGGGGTCCCAGAAGAGAACCTTGAGGCACTCCAAATTCGAGTTCTTGAGAATTCCATAAAACATCATTGATAGCAACAATTTGAGTCCGATTCTCTAGATAGGAAAGAATTAGATCCACTGCATCATTCGTCATTCCAATCCGATTTTTCATGATCTTTCTCAATGTTTTATGATCAATGGTATCAAATGCAGCTGAAAGGTCAAGGGCTATCAAAATGACCTGTCTCTTGTTGTCGAGACTAGTCAGTAGATCATCTGTAGTTTTTAGCAGAGCCGTTTCAGTTGAAAAATGCTTCCTGTAAGCAGATTGGTGTTCATCTAGAAGATTATAGGAGCTAAGGTATTGATCGAGCTGTTTATATAAAATTCTTTCAAAAACTTTACTGATAAACATCAGATTCGCTATTGGTCTATAAGAATTTAAAACGTTTTGGTCAAGTTTGTGGTCTTTTAAGAGAGGAGTTATCACCGCTCTCTTGAGACATTTTGGAAATTTGGACTGATCGATGCAATTGTTTATCATAATGATGAAATAATCTTTCCACGAGTGTGCTATTCTTTTCATATCTATCGTTTTCAGTATATCTTCTCGTGAGTTCGCGTTTGAAACCATTCTTACTGCTTCTTCTAGTTCATCTATAGTCACATATTGGAATTGGAAAGAAGAAACTGCAGTGAAAGCAAAGAGTGGCGGCGAGATGCCATTACTTTTAACATTTGCCACTAAATTTCTAACCTTCTGAATGAAAAATTGGTTGAAGTTTTCAGCTAATTCATAATCACTGGAGTATATCAGTGGTAGAACGTTTTGTTGTTTTTCTCCAGCAAGGCGTTTCAATTCACGAAACTTGAGCGAATGGCTATTTGAAAGCTCAAAGCGCCTGGAAAAATATATCAATTTCTTCTCTCTAAACAGATCTTTACATTTCTTTAAATACTCCTTGAAAGCTGTTTCGTTTTCTAATCCAGGATTTACACGCATTACTCGTTCTAATTTTCTACGTTTTCGTTTTACGTCTGCTAACTCTTTATCGTAAAAATTACAAAATCGGTTTTTGACAACTTTGGTCTTAGTTGGCACATAATCAGTTTTCAGCAGCTGCAAAATTTCGATAAAAATCTCTGCCATCTCGTTCGGGTCATTGGTGTTCATATTCAAGATTAAATTCTGATCTATTTCCGTCTCTAAATGTTTCCAGTCTGTATTGTTCCAATCATAAATAGTCAATCTGGTTTTATCCTTCCGTTGAATTGCGATTTCATAAGTGAACGTCAACGATGGTGATCAGAGTATTCAACGTGCTCATTTCTAACGGGTGAGCACAATTCCGGGTTTGAACAAATTATGAGGTCTAGAATTTTCCCGTATTCGTGAGTTGCTTTCTTAACAATCTGTTCTAGGTTATACTCCAGTAGAATCGAACAAAATGTATTGGATTTGGCACAACGTCTGTTTTCTAGATCCAAATTAAAATCACCCAGGAGGAGAAGTTGGGTTTCAATTGATGAGGCAAGAATATTTTCAGTCAATTCATTAAAAAACTCGTTATAATTTCCACTCGGCGGTCTATATATTGCTGCAATTGTTATTTTGACTTTTCTAGTCACGACCGTAATTACCAAGAAATCACCATCGTCCGAGAGATGGCTTAAAATTCTTTCACCCTGTAGTTCTTCGCGAGAAATTATGGCAACACCTCCACCTATTTTAGCCGTTCGTGAAACATGATGGTATCGATATTCATTTGAAGAGTCTATACACTGATTTAGAATATATTCCGTATCCGGCTTAAGCCAGGTTTCAGTAATGATCAAGATATCAACTTGTTCTATAGCCAATATGCTCTGTATTTGATTTACTTTTTTCGCTAGAGAACGTATATTAATTACACCAACTTTCATAGCATTCGATTGAGACTCGGGTTTTTTGTTTGATTTTAGTCAGTCGCTTTTCAAAGTTCTGAGCCAGGTTCTGGCTTCTGCATCAAGATAGTACCTGTTTATTACAACATTTTCCGGCCAAGAATTAGGTTGATCAATGATTGTTGCATGTTCGCCGTCAAATACACAGTGGAAACTTTTGTGGCGAGAATTTTCCTTTGTTATTTCCCTGATATGATTCAGAGGAAATCCTTTACTTTGACACCATGCGACTATATCAGTTTCATCATTTGTCTGTTTTATTCTTCCAACATAGAGATGGCGTCGTGGTGGTGGCTTCTCTACACCTTTGAGTGCTTCTGTTACCACTTCTCCCGTAATTAGTGGTTTCTTTGGTCTGCGGTCATTTCTATCTTTGGAGCCTTTTCGCTTCGTAACCCTCGAGCTACCAGCTTCTGAGGATACACTTTCACGAGCATTTCTGATGAATGCCGAAGAATTCAGATTAAACTTCGCTGCCCCAGCATAATTGGTTTTGTTCTTTTCAATTATACTACTTGGTTCACGATATTGCTTCAGCGATAGCAGCTCAGACTTTAATTCGTGTACATCTTGCGCCATAGTCTTTATTGAGAACAGTTCTTGTCGCCGTTCATCAATAACTCGGAAAAGATCTCTTTTACAGGTTCCACAATCTGGGCAACTCCATTCAATGTGCCCAACCACCTTATCGGCAGTGTTGAGGCCAATACACGCAGAGTGGGCAGAAGCTTGACAACCGACGCATTTCACCGATTGATTGGTTAAAGCGTTTTGACATACTGTACAGTGGAGAGACATATTTCAATTGTCTTGCTGGGAATTATTGGTCGTTTCCGCTCTAAAATGAGCTGGATTTTGGTAGATTTGTTTAAAGATATTTCCAAATTCTCTTTGTCATTTCCGCTCTAAAATGAGCTGGATAACATCCGGGAATTTGTTCGTGTCTTTTCTGGCTGTCGTAACCACTCTCAAATGAGCTGGTTTATCTTCTTTATCTGATTCTGTTTGTGTCAATTTCGATTTCCATCAACCGGATCTCTAAAATCCCTTCGTAGACAAGGGCTACCCAAGATAAGATGTTTATCCGGTTCGTCGAGACATATCTATCTATTTAATAAGTTTATCACAACAATTAGGCTTCAGCTTAACAATTAAAAACTAAAACTTTCTGAAAAAAATTTCGAAAAATATGTATGTCCCTAACGCTTTTTGAATTTTAAGAACAATTTATGATTGACACAAATTTTTGGTAAAATTTAGGTGGGGGGGGGGGGCAGGGGGGCCGATGCCCCTCCCCCTCCCCCGATCAGGGATTCGACCCCCTGCCGACCCAAAGGGTCCCCCATTTGCTACATTTTAAGAAATCCATTTATGGTCGACCGACCCTAAAATTTTTCTAAAGGCGCCTTGGGCGCCAATATATACTTACTTTGAGGGGGAGCACGCGCAAAATAACGCGATTTTTTTGTCAAAATTTTCCAAAAAGTGCCCAAAGTTTTTTCAAAAATTTGCCTGCGGCACAGACAATTTGGTCTATCTACGGTCTCTATGGGGCATTAGGAGAGCTCGGAAAATCAGTTTGGTTGACCTAAAAAAAAGATGGTCAAAATTTTCGAAATCCAAGTCGCAGATATATTAGAATGTGAGCTTAGAAAAAATGATAAGTCGAACCACCTAAAAACAAAACTAAGCGTGAAGATTTATGAAAAAAAAAACACTAGACGTAAAACCGAACTGTTTAAATGATGAAAATTAATTTCGTTCAGTAGCAGTAAAATCAAGTTCGATTATTCGCGCCTTTTCGTTTCTCTTGTTGGAGACAGTAATTCGCCTTTCTTTCAGCAAATGAATTTGGAGTGAACTTAAAACAAAACCTAATTTAAAACCGCCAAAAAACAGAATAAAACGTGACGAAAACTCAAGATTCTTCAAACAAAAAACATCATTGCCAATGTAAATAAAATTTACTTTGTTTATACTTTGCGTCTCTTTCTCATGTGCAATTCATTTAGGCTTTGAACTGATTTTGGGATGAAATGAGGCGGTCTAAATAGTAGCTACCTGATGGTGTCTCCATGCAGTTGGTCGTATCGCTTGTTGATGTCGAATATGACTGCATGCAGTTCTGTGATCCTCTCCTCGTACCTCTGCGCCTGACTCTCCAGCCTAGTCTCCAACTCACTCTGCAGACTACTCTTCTCTCTCTAAACAAAATTAACCCCAGTTATTACACTGATTATTACACAGGCAGAGGAGCTGTTCCATTTTAAAAATAACCTACCTTTAACACCCTTCCCAAACATGCTGGACTAGCTTAGAAGTGTGGGGCTTCTCAGCCACCTGGATTTTGAAGCAGGCCCTCAAAAAAACAACCAACCATTTTAAAAAGAATCCAGCGGTACCCCCGTCACGCGGTGGACTTTTCGCGCGACGAATCGTCGCCACAAATGGCAGGACTACACCCTGCAATTTGTTCAAGCTAACAAAAACTCTTCAAAAAAGTGATCCGAAACACATCTTACATTTAAGTTTGGCTTGCAGTCAAGTCGGACAGCGAGCACATTCGAACGCAAACACAGCATGATAGGCTAGCCAAAAGACAAAAGAAGTGTCGGAATCCACAAAGCCGGAAAAAACTAAACGACCAAAAAAAATTCCAACATTTTCACTCGCTGATCAATTTAAACCTTGCTATCCGGTCGCAATACTCTTGCAAATCTCAACAGTAATAAAAAGCACTTTCACATTGAAACTGTTTATTTCCTATCGTCAACCTGAGGAAAACCTGCAAAAAATTGCTACTCGGTTAACTGCAAAAAATATCTATTTCAGTACTAGTTTTTTTCTGGTTATAACCCTTTGATTTTTCGTGCCATTAAAAACAAACTGTTTGTGCTCGACAATTGAGCAAAGTTGCTTTTGCTGATATAAGCTTTGATTGAACAAAATTAGAAAAAGAGCAGTATCATCAAAGCAATCTTTCAACTTCAGTCGCGCTTAGTGCTACATCAGAAAAACTCGTCAGTCATTAAAAACAGAGATTGTCTATAGAGCCGCTCTCTTTGATTATAAAACACCGTAAAAAGCACAAAAGTACACAAGAAAGTGAAAGAAAAGCTACATGTAATTATCATCACGCTGAAAATTGCCATTTTGATGTTTTTTTTTCTATCCAGACCGATTTATCATGTAATTATCAATTCCTGTTTCCTCCCCGGAGCTATCAACATAGACAATGGATGTCATGATATCACGGAACTCTCAGTTGAAAAATATAAATTTCCCACCTGGAATAATATAATAATTTTCCAGGGATGGAAACGTCATTAGCAGACGAATAAATTATTGTCCGATAGAAATAAGTTTTATCGAGACAACACGTAGAGTAACTTGACAGGCTGTCAAAAGACACCAACTGACTCAATAATTCAAATCCATTGCCACCTAATGATTCCTCTTTATGCTCCAAATACAGAAAGCGAAAATACTCCATTTGAAGAAACTATATCAAGCATGAAACATAGCCAACAGATAATTGGAACAGAGTAAATGAATGCAATGCGACGTCGCGTAAAAAGAAAACAACCTTAAAGCTTTTTGAATTTCCAAATTTTTTTATGATTGCCAAAACCAGCCCATTTTGAGAAAACTGGATCAATGGGCGATTTTTTAAATTCCGCAGAAAAGTGTATGCGAGTGAAAATGAGCTGAGATCCGCAATGTCGATCAAAATGTCAAAAAGCGACAAAATGGAAGCATTTAAAAAACATAGCCAACAGACAGTTGGAAAAGGCAATGAACGCAAGGAAACAAAAAAACTTACTTATTTTTTGAAAAAAAAACTTAAGTACAATTTCAAAGTAAAAATTATACGGCCTTAAAATTTTTTAGATCAAATAGAAACAAAAAAATTAGAACACGTGTCTTTGATGTAATAATAATACTACACTTGAACCCCTACGAACTTTTCTTGAGATAGAAAATTGGCTACAAAAAAAAACCGATCCGAATCCTAAGTTTCTTTCCACTCTCTGAGAGTGGTCGGAACAACAACTCTTGTCCGTTGATGTGCAAAGCAATTCTCACAGATTGTTCCGATCACACTGACTGAAGAAAACAATCAATTGCTTGCGTGATTGACAGTGAAGAGAGGTGTGCTGTTACCTCTAATTGGAGAAGTCGCTTCTCCAGCTCACTCTTCTCAGATGCCATCTTCTGCTGCACTCTCCACTTGCAGTCCATTTGCTCATCCTGCTTCATATTCTGCCCACTCGTCTGCAACACAGACAACATTATGTTAAACTACTACTCTTTTATAAATTCACACAGAAAAGGATGTTGAAATGCATGAGGCAACAATTTTTAATTAACGACAATTCGTAACACAGGACAATTTGTATCAATCGACAATTCGTAAACGGCAATTCGTAACAAATTACAAAACGCAACAAACGACAATTCGCGACAGGCCACAATTCGTAACAGGCGACAACTATTAACTGTAGGTTAAGCGACAAACACTGATTCATGCGCACCTATATCCCTTTTGTCGAAAAAAGCGTGCAAAGGAGCAAGCAGTCGCTAGTTTTCAATGCCTTGTTACGATTTGTCGCCGCGTAAGAACTGTCGCCCAACCGTTGAAACTTCGTTTAAAAAATTTGATCAACTAATATAACTTATTCAATTTTACTCAAAATATACCACAGTAGAAGTTAAATCAACTAAGCGAATAAACAATGATCTATGTATATAACTATTGTGCAAGTCGCATAGAATATTACGGATAAAATTTTCAAGGTTCCATTTCCAAGATTTCTGATTCATTTGTTTCAAACTATTTTTATTTAGCCCGAGGATTTCTGATACATTTAACAGTCTTAATATGTTCATGAAGACTTCAGAATTACCAAGTCTAATAAAAAACCGAGTGAAGTGTCGCAATATATCATGAATGAAAAATTAAGTAAAACCGAAACGATACGTAACAGTTCGCTTCTGCAGAAACGAGAACGAGTCAACGAAACAGAAACAGTATGGCCAGGCAAAACATTTAGTCTTTTTTCTTGACACTAATGCAACTTTCGATCATTTTTTTGGATCCTTTTTGAAGCAGAAGCATTTAAAATTTGATACTTCAGGTGGCAAGCTTCAGCATCGCTTGCGGACAAAACTTTCAGTGGGCAATGTAATTCTGAAAAAAAAAGATTCATTGTCTGTTTCTTCTTGATGTACATGGAAGCAATATTCGTAGAGCTTATATGAGATACTTGAGCATTCAATTTAAATTTCAACTACAATTGTTGAAAATCGCCTATCAGGCTTCGCCTACAACTGAAACTTTAACGTCTTCAAATTTCAATAATAACTGTTGATAATCGCCCATGAAACTACTTCAGAAGACTTTTCTTCATGTTATAAAAACTGTCAAACTTTCTTCTCATCGGGACTATAAACCTGACATGGTCTACAAAAACCTACTGAATTGGAAAGCAATTAAGTCCTCAATTTGGTCTGCTATTTCTACCAAATCTGGTATGCATAAAATGAAGCAAATAAAACATTGTCTGGAGTTCTCGTCTCACCTCAATTTCAGCACACGTTTCACCTTCAGTTAAACAGTAACTGCTAACAGATTTCTGCAACAATGCCGACCATCCTTCATCTGTAGTCTGTGATTTGGAAACAAAACGCCTTCCTCTTTTCGAATAATGATTTCTCGGCTGATAAGTTTCAGGCGGCAACGCTTCTATCGAGTTATACGACTTCGATTTGCTACAACTTGGAGGAAAAAAATGACCCAAAGTATTGTTGTTGTCAAAAGGTAAGTTATTAGATGGTGGTGTAACTTCATAAGGTAATCGCAATTGTGTTATTTTGTTGATACAAGGACCAGGTAGTCTTGCTGACTGATCGAAAATTGATGAGAACTCAAATAAATCTTGAGACGTCGCTGGAATGTTTTCACGTGAGGAAGTTGAAGAGCTGTCGCTAGCCGCTAGCAAAAAGGGAGACAAAATTACGCAACGGAAAAAACAAAGGCAATAACAAAAATATTTACCACTTAAAGAGCTTTGAAAACTGGGAAAAAAGATTTGCCGCTTCAAAGAGGTTGATTAAAAAATATGCTATACAGCCTTGGGAATTGAAAAATCCCCACTAAAAAAGCAATAAAATCGCAATTTTGAGGAAAATGGATTATGCACCAGATGATGTCTGTCTAAGTCTAATATACAAAAGGTCGACTCGGTTTAAAATCTGTGGAAAAATGAAAAAGTAATAAGAACTTGAATACGAATAAGAATAGAAAACAGACTTTAACTTAGAATGAAAAACATTAAAATACATAAAGGGAAACAATTTTGTCTGCTCCAGTTTTTACTGTCTGAATTCCAAATATTTTCCCAATTTCTTAAAACATTTCCTCAATTATTACACTAAATAGCCCCAAAAACATACATTTTATAAAGCATTCATTCTGAATAGCCAGTTTAAATGTAGGTCCTAATATTGGCAGAAAGGTATTACATGCAAATGAACGAAGCTAGGCGAAGCATGAAAATCGACTTAGGAGCCTAAATGTTTTGGACATAACTCGGGCATGTTATTCTAAAGGCAATCAGGCGCACTCACTTAGATTCGAACAAGCCCGTTTTACCAATCAGGCATTCAACTTAATCCTTTAACCGCACTTTTAGACATTTATCAATTCCAGAACGTTAAAACAAAGGTTTCGCTCAAATTGTGAAAAATGACCTTCCGAAGATCAGAAACTTTTCCCAAAATCGTTGCCCTAAACACAAACTAAACGAGTTGAATTTGAAAAAAAAGCATTCGAAAAGCATTTGAAAAAAGAAATCACTTTGCTATGAAAAACATGCTAATGTTTTCAAAACCATTTCTCACTGAAGAACAAGACACCGGTAAACGCCCCCAGATTCCCGCTCTGCAAATATCAGAACGAGCTTTCAAAAGCGGATTAGAAATCGACTGTTTTCAGGTTTGGCGTAATTTTGTCAGGGCTAGAATTTGATCAATTTAGATAAGATTCATTTCAAAAGTGATTTACAGTCTTGGTACATTCTCGAGATCTCTTCGCTTCGCAAAACTGATGATCGCATGGGCGCCATTTGATATTGTGTGTTACTTCGTTTGCCTTGCAGTTTCATTTCAGATACTGTTGAGCTCGGTTGGCACATAAAAGGGTCAGTAAACACACTCAGCTGTCGTTTCGGACGTGTGACGTTTTTGCGACCGTTGACCTTTTGAGCTGTAGTACTTGACCGAGGATGAAGATTCATTGTAACTTCCGCAGGTATAAATGGGACCAAAATTTAAGGGAACTCTCGAGACTTGCTGGTCGATAATTTCAAGAAAAATAAAAATAACGAAATTAAAACGTTTTATTATTTACATTTTTTTATTATTTTTAATTTATTATTTACATATGTCCGCTGAAAAACCTTTCATTTTTTTCTAAAAATGGTCATTTCTTTTCAATGGTATCCGAAAATACAAAAAAAATAATCCAGCTTAAATTGCGAATCGTTTTACAAATTTAAAAAATATGGTAAGGATTGAATTGAAAATAGAGATTAAATTTCGGCTGGATTTGTACAATAACAAAGAGACGTGATTGACTAGCAGAAAGTAGTATACTCAGTAACTGACCAAATGAAGAGACCAAGTAAGCTGATTTTGAGGTCTATTGTTGAAAGCCAACTCAATAAATAATCATTACATCTTGTAACATTCAAGAGCTTCAGGCCAGTCGAGCTAAAACACACGCATTCCAACGCGCTTCACGGGCGATAGGCGCTGGTTTTACACCATTACACACCAATCAATAATTTATTTTCTAAACTCTTGCCGCCTTTTATCGAAATTAAAGAGTCTCAGCAACATCAAAACATTTGACAGTTGCAAATCTCAAAAGCGATACTCGCAACACAAAACAATGCTTTTTATTGATAATGAATAACGCCATATTAGTAATGTATAGAGGACTCTAAAGGTATGGACGATCAAGCACAATGTGGTGGAAAGATCCTCCTCTATACAATAAAACGTCTTCAAGTAGACCATGAAAAGCAGTCAGAAATATGATTTTATAGCCTCAAGCGCTAAACAACGACCTCAAAAAATGATACGACGTCTAATTTTGGAAGCATTCTCAGATACAGAAAAAATATCTAAAATTAGAATACTTTCAGAAGGATAAATAATTTTGCATCTTACGATTCGGCCACAAAACTCGATTTTACAAATTGCCAATATGAACCAAATCCCTCCCAATCCCTCCCTGTGATTCTAGTACAGCACTCGCCGAGAAAAAGATTTTAAAACATTTTAGCATCCCTTCGAATAGACGAAAACATCTATATTATCTACAATGAAGAAAAAATCTTTCCTGAACTATTTGAATAAACATAGCCATCAGATGACAGTTAGAAACGAGGATAACCGGTTACTGTGCAAGTAGCACAGAATGTTCCGACCATAGTCTTAAAAAATATTATTAAAAAGTTTTCAAATTAGTGTCGTTTTTTCTTACACTATTGCACGCTTTTAAGCCATTAAAACAAGTTATTGTAAGCCTGCTCCCTCGCTTTATTCGCTCGAATTAACACAAAAACCAAAAACTTCAAACCAATTTTTGTTGACAATGGGATTTTTTTTAGAAAATTTTAAACATCCATCAAATAACGACTGCAGGGGCTTTAATATGATATATCACTCAACTCTCTCCGATGATTATTTGTGGTAGCTATTTGTGATAAAATCAACTCAATTTGGGAAAACTATAACAATAGGCAAATTTTTTTTCTGGAAAATCAAAACGAAAATCGTCCTTCGAAACTGGAAGTCGATCAAATTTTTCTCGACCCTTCCACTTTTACTGTTCGATAGTGGAATTTGCCTTCCTTTTAACAATGGAAATGAACTTAACTTGAAAAAAAAATTCAAACCGCGAAAAAGTAAACTTGAACCTGAACGCATTTAAAGTCTTTTCCTGAAAAACAAAAAAAATCATCAAGGCCTATATCAGAGTCTTCACTACGTTCAGCTACTCATAATAATTATTAGATAACCATTCATTGAGAAGCAACCTTAAAGCCTTTCTATCAATCAAACTATGAACATGAAAGATATGAACATGAAAGTCAGAATTGATTGTGCCGAATTCCGGTACATCTATATTCCCCATGGTCAAACTGAAGAGTTCAAACTCAAAAGATTACCTCAAGAGGATTGCCGCTGTGATTTCGGGGAGACATCCTCGTTTTCAGATTAGGTGACTGCTGCACGCCATTAGCTGTCGGTCTCCTCGCATGTGTTGGTGACGTGTACTTTGAGTCCATAATAACAGGCTGTCTTCGTCCCATGGAACTTGTGCGGCTGTTTTCTCCAGAGGCTGCCAGACTTGTACCACTGCTCATTGGATTCGTGCTTGAAGATATGAGGTCCCGTTTCCAAGCTTCAATTTTGGCACCAGCGCCACCTAAGAAACTACAATTTTTTGTGCATCTGAATGCGTAAGAACTATTTCATAATCGTTTACAGAACTTTAGTGCCCAAAAATTTATATTTACACAGAAGCGAAGTCATTTTTATGACTTAAAAAAAATTAAACCACAGAAAACAATTTTCCTACGATAACACATTCTTGACCGAAGAAATTGTGCTTCGATTGACTACAAAGGTGGGCGCGCTTTTTAAAAACAATTCGATCCTTCTGTATACATTTAGCTAAAATTCGGTTCTTTATCTCAAATCCAAAATAATTCTCGCGTTTGAAAACTATGAAAAAGATTAGACTAAAACTTTATACGATTAAAGGGTGCACAAGCTAGTACTTGAAGTATTTCTATCTTAAAAAGGTCTAGATATGGTCTAAGTGTTGAAATGCACTTATTAAATAGTTTCAGAGACTAGAAATGAAGTTCAAAATCAAAACTTTCAACCTAAAGTTGAAAGTTAGCAAATCAGCAATACAAGTCTGACTCGACTCCTTGATCAACGGCTGATTAAGCGGTCCGCCCGCAATGGTTGAAGCTAATAAATTCAAAAATAAACAAGATTGATGAAAAACAGTAAAAAGCGATGGGATTAGTTTGCGAAGACAATTTAACAAATGAGAGTTTGAAATGTGTCATTTAGGCTGAATTACGGAAAATTTAAGACCAATTATTTTCAACAATTAAAAGCATTATTTAGAAGTCTGAATCACATTAAAAGGGCTTCAATATGACACCACACTTGAACTTGAATTCATTTATCCAGAAACATTACATTATTAAAGAAATTAACGCAATATGTTCTCTGGAACGGCTGTTGAAAGAGCATTTCAGCTCATCGCCAACCGCCCTGGAAAGATAAAACAAGAGTAAAAAACTTTACCCCCTCGGAGCTTTCCTTGTGCTACCTAAAATTAAGCGAAAATACTAGGTAATACATAATTCATTACCGTTACGAAATGACCGACTGGAAATACTCAAACAACGAGGAGAGAAATTCAAAAAATGAGGCGAATCAGAGCTTTCCAACACTTGCGAAAGAAAAATGAATGACTCTCATTACTTGCAGATGAGCTGACAAATCGGACAAAAACCTCCAAATATTTTTTCAACAATTATATGAAACTAGCGAAAATATCTTGGAGCTGAGGCAACTTCACCTTTGGAAATTATACAAACAGAGGCGAAGCATCGCGCTTCATGCGATAAAACCCATACATAGTACGAACTAACCGACGAAAAAAAATATGAAAGCAGCAGGAAAAAAAAAAGAAAATTATCAACCATAATTTTTTCTAAATTGTCTTGATTTAGTCTCGAAATCCTTTCATAAAAAAAGCAAAGAAGTAAGAGAACTTAGTGTTTGCATTGAAAAAAAACTTATTAAGCGATAGCAAAACCGACAACTTTTGAGCAGACATGTTGCTCCGAAAAAAAAAGTTTTATTGGAAAAACTTCAAGAACTCTATAGAAGTTTTCAAGTCCCCTCATAACACTTAGATAAAGATTGTTTGCTTCTCAAACCTCTCAAAAAAAGCCTGCATCTGAATGCGTAAAAAATATTTCATAATCATTTACGAATTTTAGTGCCCAAAATTTTATATTTACACAGAAGCGATGTCATTTTTATGACTTAATAAAAATTAAGCAAACATAACCAAAGAAAAAAATCGCATATTCCTACCATGACACATTTTAGACAAAAAAAATGGTGCTTAGATTGACTACAAAGGTGGGCGCGCTTTTTAAAAACAATTCGATCCTTCTGTATACATTTAGCTAAAATTCGCACTTTTCACCTTGAGTTCTTTATCTCAAATCTAAAATAATTCTCGCGTTTGAAAACTATTAAAAAGATTAGACCAAAAATTTATACAGTTAAAGGGTGCACAAGCTAGTACTTGAAGTATTTCTATCTTAAAAAGTCTAGATATGGTCTAAGTGTTGAAATGAACTTATTAAATAGTTTCAGTGACTAGAAATGAAGTTCAAAATCAAAACTTTCAAACTAAAGTTGAAAGTTAGCAAATCAGCAATACAAGTCTGACTCGACTCCATGATCAACGGCTGATTAAGCGGTCCGCCCGCAATGGTTGAAGCTAATAAATTCAAAAATAAACAAGATTGATGAAAAACACAGTAAAAAGCGATGGGATTAGTTTACGAAGAAAATTTAACAAATAAGAGTTTGAAATGTGTCATTTAAGCTGAATTACGGAAAATTTATGACCAATTACTTTCAACAATTAAAAGCATTATTTAGAAGTCTGAATCATATTAAAAGGGCTTCAATATGACACCACACTTGAATTCATGCATTCAGAAACATTACATTATTAATGAAATTAACGCAATATGTTCTCTGGAACGGCTGTTGAAAGAGCATTTCAGCCCATCGCCAACCGCCCTGGAAAGATAAAACAAGAGTAAAAAACTTTACCCCCTCGGAGCTTTCCTTGTGCTACCTAAAATTAAGCGAAAACACTAGGTAATACATAATTCATTACCGTTATGAAATGACCGACTGGAACTACTCAAACAACGAGGAGAGAAATAATTTCAACAAATGAGGCGAATCAGAGCTTTCCACCACTTGCGAAAGAAAAATGAATGACTCTCATTACTTGCAGATGAGCTGACAAATCGGACAAAAACCTCCAAATATTTTTTCAACAATTATATGAAATAAGCGAAAATATCTTGGAGCTGAAGCAACTTCACCTTTGTAAATTATACAAACAGAGGCGAAGCATCGCGCTTCATGCGGTAAAACCCATACATAGTACGAACTAACCGACGAAAAAAAAAGATGAAAGCAGAAGGAAAAAAAGAAAATTATCAACCATAATTTTTTCTAAATTGTCACGATTTAGTCTAGAATTGCTTTCATAAAAAAAGCCAAGAAGTAAGAGAACTTAGTGTTTGCATTGAAACAAAACTTATTAAGCGATATCAAAACCGACAACTCTTGAGCAGACATGTTGCTCCGAAAAAAAATGTCTGTTTATGAACACTATAAGATGGTTAAAATCGTTAAAAGGATGACTCGTTTGCTTCCAGTAAACTTTGTTAATGCTCCTCTTCATGTTCACGCGCAGCTGACGGGGCGGTTGAGGTTGAGTATGGTCAAAAAGGAGGTGGCTTATTGGCAAGAAGGTCCTGAGGATAAATTGGGAGGCATGTTGTTTGTGGAAATTTGACATTAAGTAGTTTGCACTG